CAAACTTTGTTAAACCAATCCTTATCTTCCTAGTTACGTCTTCACCATTTACTTCCTCCAGCCCAAACCCTATTGTCAGTTCTCTATACATGGATTGTTTCTTTGTCTAAAAGGTATAAAAATAAAAGCTACCTGCTCTTGCCACTTCTTTGGGTCTTCGTTCTCTTGTGAAGGCTCCCATGCACATGGACAAAGTCAATAAAATGTGTCAGCTTTTCTCCTGCTAATCTGTCCTTGTCAGTTTACTTTTCAGACCCAGCAGGGACCCTAAGAGGGCCACAGACAACTTTTTCCTGCAGAGTCGTTCCATGGGCAGCGCTCTGAGCCTGGGGACATGATCTGAATGACAGTGGTCAGCTAGTGGCACTTCAGAGGCTACCCTGTTGGAGGGGATTGTGAAGTCAGGAAATGTTAAATAGCCCTTCACAGGAGCTATCGGAGAAGGCCACAGGGTCACCCACTGAGCTCCAGGGAGTGTAAGCTTCTAGTCACTATGCCCACTCCCCTTTCTGTCCTTGTCATTCCCACTCCCTGGCGGCTACTCCAGCACAGGGGACTCTTCCTCCTTGCCAGCCCTGAACAGCTTCCCCCCAACATGGGGCTGCTCCTCCCAGTCACTGGGCTGGCTCCCTGCTTTCCAGTCACATTGCTAGTGACTGTGCCCGCTCACCCAGGGGGCACCAGGAGATGGGAGCTAGGCAGAGGCAGAATGAGGTGGCCCGGTGAAGATGACACAGAGGGACACAGCCAGCACAAGGCTCTGAGGACAGAGCAGCAGGCAGAGAGAAGCATTCAATTGTGACAGGCTCTTCCTGGATCCATCTCCCAGATGACTTTGGAGAGAGAAGACCTTGGGTCTGGTTTTGTGCATTCCCCCTGCCTGGTCCAGGCATTAGTTTTTTTTAAAAAAAGCAAAGCCAACTCGAGTACCTGCAGAGCTGCATGCGGGGTGAGTGTGTCAGGCATGGACTGGGAACTCAGCTCAGAATGAGCAGCAAGTCAAGTGACAGCTGATGTTTTTCTGAGAATTTAACAACGGGTCTTTCCCTCTTCAGAGACCCTTGGAGTCAAAGATCTGGAAGCAACGCTGTCTCGCCATTGGAAGTTGATGTAGATCAGCAGCATCCCTTGTTAGAATGCCAGACTTCCCACCCCCAGGCTGACCTAGCCAATCAGATTCTCAGTTTTAACGAGATCCCAAGTGATTCTTGAGCACATTAATGCATGAGAAGCTCTGCTCCTAGGATTTTTTTGAGAGAAGAAGCAGGTTTAAATAGGAAAATTTTGTTTGGTTTGATTTGGTTTGGGGCATGCTGGGTGTTTGATGAATTAGCAGTATCAGTCCTTCAGAATTCTAAGCAAACTTGCTTTCACAAGAGAGCACTGGGTCCTCTGGGCCAGTGTCTATTGGTACATTGTTCTCTGTCCCACTTTCCAGATGCCATGTCTGCCACAGATACTTTACAATTTAATCCAGGAGCTTTTCCACTGTTACAATGTTCCTGGATGTTCTGGGACACTCTGCTAGCTTGGTGGCCTATTGGGAGGAGGGAGTGCGGGTGGCGACTGTTTCCAGCTACCCTTGAGTTTTCTTTTGATAAGAGGGGTCAGTTGTCTGTCTGTTGAACTAAGCCTGATGGTAGTAATGCCAAAGAATTTTTTTCCTTTATGAAGTCAATTTGCTCATTTCTTTTTTTAAAAAAATGTCTGGTCAGCCTGCATTGCGCCCAGAGGCTCAAAAAGCTGTCAAAAGCTCAGCGCTTTTGTACCAAAATAGAATCAGGAAACCACTTCCCATGTATGCCCAGGCAAAGATCTCTCCTCTAGCATCATGTCCCCAGTGCCTACCTCCTTCGCTGTACACAGGAGCTGACATTCATTTAGCTCAGAGCTTCAAGCTCTGGCTGGCCATTAGAAAATACTCCTGGCTAAGCCCTTCACCCCAACATGCTGCTTAATTGCTTTTTTTTTTTTTTGGTAGGACCCTGGCACAGGTATTTTTCCCTTTTTAAAATAGACTTTATTTTTTAGAACAGTTTTAGGTTCTCAACAAAATTGAGCAGAAAGTACAGAGTTTCCGTACAACCCCCATCTTCCCCCCAACACCCACAGACTCTCCCACTATCAACATCCCCCACCAGACTGGGACATGGTTACACAGTTGAACCTCCATTGACACATCAGGATCACCCAAAGTCCATGGTTTACACCAGGTTCACTCTTGGTGTTGTCCATCTATGGGTTTGGACCAATGTATCATGACATGGATCCACCATGTAGTCCCACACAAAGCAGTTCCACTGCCCTGAAAACCCTCCGGCAATTTTTAAAAGCACATCAGTGAGTCTAACGCTCAGACAGGGCTGAGAACTACTGATTTCGTGCCAGGCCCTGCTTTAAGCACTTTATGGGAATTGACTCCCCTAATCCTCATGTCACCTCTGGTGTAGGTACAGTTCTTGTCCTGAGCCGTTTAGTAGGTTGCCCTGTGTCACACAGTGGATGGGCAGCGTGTGAACCCAGGTTAGCTTGCTGCTGCCTCTGTCCCTTAACCATTAGGCAACACTGGCTTTGCAATCTGCCTCTCCAAGCTTCTCGGAATTGCACTTGAGTCAAGAAGAAAAGTAGACTGTCTCCTGTTGTTGGCTCACTTGCCAAGCTCCTGAGCAGAACTCTGTGCCTTGCAGCCCAGAGCGCCTGTCCTCCAGGGCCCTCACCTACCAGCTCTACCTTCTGTGATTCCAGATGCCAGCTCATTTCTTGACTGTTCCTCACACATGACCTGCTGGTTCCAGCTCTGGTACATCAGCCCTGGATGGCCTCCCCTTCTCCCCACGCGGCCAGAGTTTAATCCTTCCCTGCTGGGCTCAAGTTCCAAGCGCCTGGCTTCATTCCCAGAAGGTCCAGGCCACCTTAACCTCCCTTGCTTGCCAGAGAAGCGCTCACTGCCTCAAATGTGCCTTTTGGAATTCAATGGCCAAATCAGCAGTTCCCCTAGGGAAAGAACCAGATCTTACACCACCAATTTCTTGTCTCCCTTCCCAAGCCCCACACAGTGAGCTGTAGGTCCCACAGGATGTGTGGGAGAATGGGGTATTCCTGCTCAACCAGTGGCCACAGGCCATGTCAGCTGCCCCGTACACTGTGCACATGTGGCCGGCATCTCACAGGAGGATTTCCATTCCTCCCTCCATGGCTGCTCTGACCTGCTTCCCAGTGGCTGGAGCCTGAGGTCCAACCCCCCAACTCTGAGGAGGAAAATTTTCCACCATCTGAGCCCTGCCCACCTCCTGGTGGGTGACCAGCCTCAGTTTTCCTGGCGTGGCCACAGTTTTGGCCTGTGGTCTTGGTGTAAGAATTAATTGCATCTCTTCTCACTCTCTAGTGTCTGGTGTAGACAGTAAATCATGAAGTTGGCCTATCTTTCAGCTCACCACTCCCCCAGGTCCCAAAAAAGAGTGGTCTATCGTTTCCTGTGAGGGCCAGGCTATTGCTTCTGCTGGGAATGAGCAGCCCCATCTCCAACCCCAGGCACATGCCATCTTTCCTGCCCAAATCCCTCTGCGGATTTCCTAGGCCGGCTTCAGCTTCTCCGGTCCCAGGAAACCTTCCCTCACGCCTGGCATTCCATCCTCTGAATCTCCGATACGGGTCTGACTTTACCAGCACCGAGCACGTACCGCCCTGTATTGAAGCTGTTTGTACACTGATACGTTTCCCTTATTGGGTGGGGATTTTCTGAGGAAGGGCCCTGAAATTTCACATCTTTCTCCTCTACACAGAGGCTAACACAGCACCTTCCATGTGGTAGACCTTTCTTGTAATATTTTTTAGCCATATAACTTAAGACAGTCATATCTTCTTGGGGCCTCGGTTCCAACCTCTGTAAAATAAATCCTCTCCCTATCAGTCAGGGTCTCACCAGGAAGACGAAAAGCCCTTTTTAAGCATTGAATGCAGGGTTAGACAGGTGACTGAACCAAACGGGTGGGGGGCGGTGAGATCACCCCAAGATTAGCATCAGTAGGGATACCACCTCCTGGGCTGCAGGGATCAAGGGCATAGCAAGACTACTAGTTCTGGGTCACAGGTCATGGGGCAGAAGCTAGAACCCTGGTGGGCCTGTCCTGTGGGACCTCAAGCTATTGTAGAGGCAGAGCCTATTAGAAATGCCACCTGAGGCTGGTTTCCCCTTCTTCCACCCTCCCATGCCTGCATCTCTTTGGTCAAATGCAGCAGGAAGCCAGTGGTCCTGGGAGCCACGGGGACCTGGCATGAAGGGGCCGGCCCCCTGATACAGAGCAGAACAGGGAAGGGTCCAGGGAAGGGCACAGAGAGGGTGAGAGGCAGACAGGCCCAGGAGTGGCACAGCTCAGGGACCTTCTCAGCTCTTCAGATGTGCGGGTCAATAAATCTGTTTTATTGATTAACCAATTGAATACATTGATAAATGTACGAGGAATCTTCTTACCAGTTTTGAAATGTATCTAGCTGTTTGTAGACAATGTGATCAAGAAATTCTGTGTTTCTAGCATTAGAAATCTTCCATCTCTGTACCCAACAAAACGTTGGGGCCTGAAAAACCTAAGCCTTTCTTATTCTTTTAGTTATTCTGAACAATTCAATTAATAAAGTTGATAGCAGTTGGGCAAATAATAAAATACAGACACTTAGTGTAAGAAGAGATTGACCTTCACTTGGTGCTATGGCTGCAGCAAGGACATGGATGTCATCACATAAGCATTTATTGAGCCAAGCCCTCTCCCCGCTCCCTGCTGCCAGGCTCAGAAATTTCACAGCCACATGGGGGTGGGAAGGATGTGTGTGTGTGTGTGTGTGGGGGGACTCCAGAGTCCTCCTCATCCCTGCATTCCTGGCTGCATGGATGAAGACTGCAGACATTCCCTCCCCAGATATTGCTTTCTCCCACTGGGAAGTGGAATACATAATAAAATCGAATACTATCTGAAATCCAGAAGTGATTCCAAGTCTTACCTCTAGCCAATAGTTTCGCTTCCTCTCCTATGAACTCCATTTTCAGGGAGCCTGGTCACATTGCAGGCTGAGTTTCAGCAATTTTAATATTGTTGGGAGAGTTTTCTGAGGGGTAGAGAAATGGCCTTCAGGAGACAAAAGGAAGAACAGAAACGTGAGCTGGGAATCCACCTTTCAATTCACGTAGGAGTAACCGATTTTATTTTACTTATGCCAGTGGAATTGTGAATAAGTAGATGGGTGAAATAATGCATCTGAAAACACAACACCGTTCGGGTACTATAATGATGATGATAATGATCCTATATAATAAAGAGCTAATATGCTAATTAGACTGAACAGCAGAATGACTGTCTGGACGACCTTCTGGACAAAACCAGGGCTGCGAGGGCTGAGCCCCTTGCACGAATTTTGTGTACCAGGCCTCTAGTAATGAAATAAAGCATGTGAAAACACAATACTGTAGGGTACTATAATGATGATGATGATGATGATGATGATGATGATGATGATTGAATTGTAGAGATTTAGAAGTCTATCCATTTTCATAGGTCTATTGCTCTGGTAGCTAGAGGCAATAAATGATTCCTTACCTTCTTTTTGTACTTGTTACATTCTGTTCCCCAACCCCTTGTCTTCCTATTCCTATTCTATAGGGTTATTAGTCCTGTGGATATTTCCCCTGTGTTCTTCATTCTCACCCACATTTGTAACCCTTGTTCCCACGGCACAAAAGCATCCTAAGTTGGCAGGATCCCGAGGGACTTCTAGGATCAGTGCTCCCCTCCCCCCTTCACCCTCAGCATTGATGAAACCAGCCTCCTCCTGCCCACAATTAAGTCACATAGGCTCATATATTGAGCATCAAATCAGAATCTCTGGAGGGTGGAACCCAGATATGTCTTTTTATTTCTAAATCCTGAAATTAAAGCCCAGAGAGATTAAGTCATCTGCCTAAGAGAGCACATAAATGACTGTCTGATGAAAATTAAGAA